GTCATCACTTCTGACAACCATTCACTCATTGCAAGCAAAACATCCATCTGCCACTTCCTTAGCTATGTTTTATTGAAAGTAGCTTTTTACAAATACCTATGCTTCCTCTGAACAAAGGATTAGTCACTTAGCTCCTTATAAAAAATATAAAGAGAAGGTGTGGGTGTGGGGGTTCGTCACCTAGTTCCACTCCACAGGATAATACTATCTTTCTCCGTTGAGACCCTACATATAGCAAATGCATGACTAGTTTTTGATATTCTTTACCACTAATGACGGAATACAAAATAAATAAAGGTTGTACATGAGTATGTCAGGATATTGGATTATGACAAAGATCTTTCCATCTTCCAAAAGAGAGGTATTTATATCCTTAAGGACAGAGTTCAAAACTGAAAAGGTGGAGAAGTGCTCTCTCTCTCATTGGATGTAGGACAGACGACAGTGTCAATGATTAACGACTTCACTGATCTTTTTGGCATTCCATATAAGGACCTTTGTGTGGAAGGCTATTGTTGTTTTTACAGTCCCCTTGCATCTTTGTGCTACCTGTGGTTGCATCCAAATTGTTAAATCGTGTGTCCGTCTCATCTAAAACCTTTTGTTGTTAGAGATAACACACTTTTATTTACTTAATTATATATTCAACACACGCCCCCAGCATACTAGCTTGAATTTTTTAACAGGCATAACACGTGAATTAATGAGGCTCGAGAACCTGGGACCTTTGGCTACTCTGATAACATGTTAAAGTTTGAATCATCTCATCAAAAAGTTAACGTTGCTAAAGAGATCACACTTTTATTCTATGTCGCACACACTCAGGTGTGGTCAAACGATACGAATGCAAATCTAGAGATCGAATTTTCACAACATAACTTTAAGGATTTGGAGGTATGGATACAAATGTCGGGATGCAGGCAATAAGTTTATATTGTGAGTTGTGACATATATACAGTATATATTTTAAAGTTACTGAATTAAAGCTAATAAATTTAATTCTTTATAGACATGCAATATTTTATTCATAAGACATCTCGTGTAAAAGCATAGGCCATAGCATTCTCATACACATATTATATAACTATATATATCTATAACATAAACCTACAAAATCCAACCAATTACCCAATCAATGTATACTTCTCGGCTATACATGTAATCAAAGCACCCACGATAAGTAGACCAAATCTGGTGTGGATCCCAGGGCCACACATGTCGAGTTGACATGGGTGCGGCAATGATTTTGAAGAGTTCATACAACATAGCTTTTATTTACTTAATTATATCTTCAAAACGGACCAACTATATCCCATAGAAGGAAAGCCTATCTGATATACTACTGATCACTTTCATATTCCAGATGAACAAATTGGTATCACAAGGAGAATCATGGTACTAAATCAAAGAATCACTTTATTCCTAATACTTAAAAATTAGTAACATAGTCAGATGGGATGTATTACCTTTTTTAACTCATCCACTTCCGAGCAAATATCATTCTCTTCTCTATCATCATCCTCTACAATATAAGCCAGATATAAGGTATTAGAAAAACAAAATAAAAATGAGAGCATGACATGAAAAGATAGTTTCATTGGCCACCATAATATTTGAGCTCATACTTAGATGAAATTAATATTAAAATGTCAAAGAGATAGCTAATAGTATCGGTAAAAGAGAGCTTTATTTATATTAAGCTTGAATAAGGTATTCTTTGCTACACGTGTCAAGACTGCACAATGAATCCAAGGATGTCCCCTTTCTGTTTCTTTGCTACAGGGGCAGTACTTTTCCTTCGGAGAATGCTAAATGACTGCGAGATTGAAAGAGTGGCTGCTCCGTTAAGTAAGATTGGTGATTTCATTGGCACTAATGTTGAGCAATATACTTTGAGATAGAGACAACAATACTGATGGGCAATTCTCTGTTAACAAGGCATATAGAATGGAAGACTTGGTGCAGAATCGAAGGTAGCCAAAACTATGGAGCAACATGTGGAAGTATCCAGCTCTAACCAAGGTTAAATGCTTCACTTGGTTGGTGACTAAGAGTGCATGTCTGGCACAAGAAGTCTTGACAGAGAGCATGTTTTTTTGGTTATAATTAATAGTAATATAACCAAAAAAAATAAAAATCCTTTGGTTGATGCAACTTTATTTTTATACAATTCACATCTGCAATTAGCAATTTGTTCTAAGCAAAGCCAATTCAGTTGAACCAGCTTCAGTGAACGTGCATCTGCCAAACTCAATGAATTGCAATATGTTTTTTTTTGGTTATATTACTAATAATTATATTTTAGATGCATCTCGTCCCAATAACAGCATGTTCTGAATTGCTGGTTGTACCACTAAAGTGGCAATTAGAAATCATGTGACCAAACCACTCTCCTGCATTGCAATATTTTGTATGTATCTTTATCTTATTTTAGGTTTCCTTCTGGAAAATAATATAAATTAATAATATAAAATCAAAGGCTACATGCAAAGGGGGGAAACTTTTATACAAGCAGCCTCCGTAGTGTGGTATAAGCACGACATCAAGAGATATCAACTATCAAGTGGTTATAACCTTTACTACACATACTAAATTACATAAATACTACTTCCCCCATCCCCCAAAAAAGCGGGTTCAGTTAGCTTTCCCGCTTCAATTATCACGCATTTACCTCAAGGTTACAGGATCTCACAAACAACGCTCAACACATTATGTTAGATTCGGGTCATTCAAATTAATATCAGAACCAAATACAAAATAATAGGCTCAACAAATCTTCATCATAACTAGTTTAACACCAACTGTAAATGAGTACCGTACTTAATACGTACTTCAATAGTGTAGTTGCATTAAACCATTATTTATTATACTCCAAAGCATTTAATTATCAATTCAATAGTATTTACCAAAAATAACCATCAAATAAACAGTATCTAACAGAAACTACATCCATAAAACCAACTTTAATAATCCCAAGCTCTCTCCCCTTCTGAAATTTCAAAAAATATACCTCACATTCTGGAACACAAAAAGATAACTGAAATCACCTAGCCTGTACTATAACATTTCCATTAAAAGTTAGAAGAAAAAAAATTTAAAAGCAACCTACACAAACTAAATTTGCACAAAAAAAAGAACATGAAAAGAGAGTTTTTTTTTTACTTAATACTCAAACAAACATCAACCAAAGACACCAAATTGTTTAATTTTTTTAAAAAAAAAAATCACAACTTTAAGATGATCAATGAGTGGCAATTTCGTAATTTATCACTTTCTAGATCTCTCTAAAAAAAATTGAAGAAGAGTACCAAACATGGAATCGCTGCCTGACGAAGACGAAGAAGAAGAGTCGGAATTGAAGACAGAAGTCAGAATCTTAGCGGCACCGGAGAGAATTGTCCGTGTCGCCGGGAAAACATGTCCGGTGAGCCAATTAGGGCTTTTGAGAAACCGTTCCTCCTCCTCCACCGCCGCCGGCGCTGGTGGTGGTTGTTGTTGTGGACGGTCATATGGACCAACGGCGTATCTCTTTCGCTTGTTCGCTACAATTTTTCCTCCAGAACGAGAATCCATGGCGATATTTTTTTTCACAGAGAGAGAGAGTGTCGCTAAAAACTCGAAGAAGAAGAAAAATGGGCTTTTTTTTATTCGGTTTTCTGTGTTTTATTCAAAAAGAAGTTGCATTTTTCAGGTTCTTTTGTTTCATGTTATCTGTTTTGCAGTTTTTTTTTTTGTTTAAGTAACAACTAAGAAGGTGTTTAATTATGATATTTTATATTTTAATTGGTATGTTTTAAGTTAATGTTGTGTTTAGTCATTCTCTATAAGAATATATTTCAAAATTTGAGTTTACTTTTGTATCGTTATTATACATATCGAATATTAAAAAATCAATAAAGGTCAAATTAATATATCTGGTATAATTAAATTTGTTTTAAAATATTAATATTTTAAAATAAATAGTTTTTTAATATATTATCGATATTAGATCTCATAGGTAAGTTATTGTATTTCAAAAAAAAAACATAAAACATGATTTAAATGGGAGGTTTTTTTTTTATTAAATTAAAAAAAAATTGAAAAGGAAAATATATACTATTAAGAGTGAAACAAAATTTTGGATATTTTCATTTTTCAAATATAACTTAAAGATATGCTCAAATATAAATTAAAAAATATATAGATTTTTTTTAAATGGAGAAAATACTTAATATTTTCGTTAAAAATCTAACAGCCACCAAATTATTAAAATTTGGGCGCCACCCAAAAGTATTCATATTAATTTGATAGACAAATTAAAGAACTAATATTTAAAAAAACATTTAAATGTACTTCCAAACACAAGGGTCCATTTTGTTGTTTTCTCGTAGAGACAAATATGCTATCTTTCCACACTGTTTTTGGATATATCTACGTAATTAATTATAATTTAACGAATTATAGTAATTAATAATTGTAGTAGTAGTAGCAGCTTATATAAGTATTATAAATAAACATATTCTTTCTAAGTTAAATTAATTTGCATTTAAGAACTTGACTTGAAAAATAGAGTATTAAATAAGGAGTAAAATAATAAATTTAATTAGTTTCTGTAAAATCTAAAATGATGACATATAAATAGAAAAATTTAATGCATAAACATGATTTCAGCGAACAACTATGCCGTTCAACTTTGAGCGTTCCCAAATAGACACTTAAATTTATATAAAATCGAATAAGTAGACACACGTATTTTACGTGACATAATACACATAAGACCCCGTAGAACACAAAATTGTCATGTCTGATAAATATGTCGATTTATTTAATTTTATATAAATTTAAATATCTACTCGTACATATTCAAAACTAAAAGTGACAGTTACCAACTGAAGTCAAATTTTTAAACAGAGGTAGGTAGTATCACTATTTTGCTTTAATTATTGCGATTCAAACTATTTGCTTTGTCCCAATGTGTGTGCGTCATTTTTCTCTTATTGATGGAGACTCTATAGCTCCTTATTAAAATAAAAAAGAGAAAAAAATTGCCATGCATTGTTAATCTCTCAAGCTTAGTTACCATGAAAATTCCTCCAAAAAAACCTCATTTTTTCAAACCTATTCAACCAGGTTTCAAGAATGGTCTTGTAAGTCATCCCTTTATTTTTTCCATCTTTTCCTTTATTTAATTACTTTATGTTACGTGCAGTAGCGGATTCATGATTTTCACTAAGATATTGTAGTATGTATTTAACTAATTAGGGCAAGCTTATGTTGTGTATATTGTAGAAAATTCCTATAGGTTTCTTGAAGTATTTGAAGGGAAATGACAATGTTGAACATGCAATATTGAAAAGGGGTGGCTATAAGTGGTCTATGAAAGTGAATGGACATCGATTCGAAGCGGGTTGGGTTGAATTTGTAGAACAACATGGTTTGAAATTGGGAAATATATTGATGTTTAGACATGAAGGAAACATGGAATTTGAATTTTCTATATTTGATTCAAGTCATTGTGATAGAGAATATGTAGAGTATATGGAGGAAGTAGGAGATCATACAAGGGAAGAGATTTCCAAGAAATTTAAATTCAAAGGTAATAACATCTTTGTTGTCGTATGGCGTTTACTGTGTTTAGGTGATCGCACCTTGTTGTGTTGTTGATGTTATGATTTTCTTGAATATATGCTCTGCATTGCTTCAAATTTCTCTATCGTCGTTTTTTTTCATTGCTACTTTGATTTGCTCAACTTGAGTCGAGAGTCTTTCAGCAACAGTATCTCTATCTTCAAGAGGCAGATGTACGGGTTGCATATACCATGTCCTCATTAAACCTCACATTGTGTGATTTCACTGGGTTTATTGTTGCTGGTGTAAAGGTTGGATTGTTAGAGTTCATTGATTTATATATACTTGATGATTTTTGCAAGTTAATTCCCTTTAGATCATAGCATATGTCTCAACTTGCTTATATTAAAAATTACTCTCTCTGTTTTGATTTGTTTGTCTAATTTTGTCTTTGCACAAAATTTAAGAAAGTAACAAGACTCCTGAATCTTATGGGATAGATAGAATGTACCAAAATGATCTGTAATCTTATGGTCTTAAACACGTATGTGGAAACTTAGAACTAAAGAGTAGCCAACGAAGGAAAAAATGTATTATTTATGGAAATTATTTTCACGCTACTTGTAATGGAAACTACATAAACCAAACGATGATTATTTTGCAAGTAAAAACTAATTCCAAATTAGCCAAAGAGTATGTTTGGTTGTTACTTAAATGTTGCTAATTTTCTCAAGTACAATTGTCATATTTAATTTCCAGAGGATGCAACAGAAAGACCACGGCAAAAGATCAAGTCGTCAAGAAAGACTTCTTCCCATATAATAAAAGTTGCTAATCATCACAAGTCTTTTGGTCATTCTCATGTTGAATGCACTATTAGAGAATATAACATTTCGCGAGGTTATTTGGTAAGTTTCGAAATTCACTATTACTTGCAAACTCTTCAAGTGAATGTGTTACACAATTAGGCCACGTATTAATAAATTATACGTAAATCTCTATGATTAGCATTAATTAGTTACTTACAAGGTAACGATGATAACTAATTTGTAATCACATTATAAAAACATTTACATTGTCAATGTATGTAAACTAAGTTCCTATTGTTATTTATTTTTTCTTTGTGAAATGGTTATACACCATGTTAGCACCTTCCTCGACAATTTGCATATGCAAATGGCCTCGCGAATAAGAAGTGTGATTTGATTATAAGAGATGAAAGACAAAGGTCGTGGAATGTAAAGCTAAGTTCTTCTAAAACTCGAAGCTATATCAGCGGATGTGGACGGACCAAATTCTTTGCTGATAATTGCTTAAACAAGGGAGATTGCATAATGTTTGAAGTCGTTACTAATGGAGAAACACCAATATGGAAATTTCAAGTTACTTATCGAGAAGTTCCATTGCAGATGTTTCAAGGCAAGTTTTCTCATGTAACCAATCTCTTATTTCTTTGATGATCTTTTTCATCGTCATATATGTGTATTATTCTGCATTGTTTATGTAAAGTGTTTTTCATGTGATTAAATAGAAGTGTTATTTCTTTTCGATTATGGGGTACCCTTTAGCTACTTCTTCGTGTTAGTAGAATACTGCTAAAGTGCAGTTTGCTGTATGTATTCACTCAAGAATGCAGTTTGAAAACAGTAAAGGCCGGTTATGCTGAAAATTAATATCAAAGTCACTGATCAGCGGGGCTGATAGTTAAAATTGTATAATCGTGTGAACTGTATTTTGATATCATATTCTCTTTTTCTTAATAGAGCGACATCCTCACTGAGGATTCACGTATCAGACCACAGTTTGAGTTTGTATTTAGGCACAGTAGTAGTACTAGTGTTGTTGTTCTGTTTTTCTAAACAGAATGACATCCTCAGTGAAGATTCGTATGTCGAACCACAATTTGAGTTTGGATGAAGGCATAGTAGTAGGACGAAGGGGGTTCACTGGCGGAAAATTACATTGTTTATACAAGTTCAAATTATATTTATAGTAGATGTTGAACCCTTTTGACTTCTTTGTGTGTTTACTTTTCATATTTTGAACCTCTTAATGAAAATTTTGACTACGCCACTGTATAGTAGTATTAGTTGTTAGTCTGTTTTTGTTCTCAATAGAGCGACATCCTCAGTGAGGATTCATATATCAGATCGTAATTTGAGTTTGCATTAAGTTATCGTGGTTGTTATTCTGTTTTTTTCCTTCCAAAATGATTTGGAATTTGAAAAAGAGTTCATGAAAGGTCCATATTTAGAAAACGTCCCCTGCTAATTATCGAAACTTATATATGTTATATATCTTCCTTTTATCCTAATTTCACACTTCCTTATCAAGTTTTCTTTCTTTTGCTATGTTTTACTTAATAAGCAGACATTATGAAAAAAACATCAAACACGAGTCTTCTCAATGCACAAGTAGTTACTTCGACTTCTGGTGATGATCACCATCCTTGTTTTATTTCAACCGTTAAACCTTATTGCTTCACAAGAGCACTTTTGGTAAGTTATGGAACTAAATTTTGTTATGGTTGAAGTTAATTATATACAATAATGTAGGCAACTTAGCGCGATGGTGTACAAAATTGTACACTGTTGAGTTATAGGACTTGAACTGTTTTTGTTCTAGTCCTTTTTTTCTAATACGCGGATGGACAAAATTCTTAGCAGAACATGGACTCCGGGTAGGAGATGCTTACAAGTTTGAACTCATCGAGAATGGGGAAATGCCTATAGCACAATTCCATTGTAAGTGTTCTTTTAGTTCGAAATGTAGTGATGTACTTTTGTCAAGATCAAGTTCTATGCTCTGACGGGTGTAATATAATCTGATGTTTTGCAGGCAAATATTCTGAAAAGGTTGCAAAGAGAGAAGAACAGTAATGAAGCAAGTTGACTACTTAAAATGCAAATTGGTTGATCCAATGTTTGGTATATAACTTCAAAACCTACGTACGATGTTTCTGCAGAACCTTCATGTTAGGTAAGTAAATGAGTGAGACTTGGAAGTAATGACTTACTAACCAACTTTTGTCTAGGCCTCGATGACTCAGTATGGCTTGGTCGTGGTTGTGTAAACTACGTGGCTTAGTTGAGCGTTGTCTCGTTTCCTAGCAGGACAGGCTTGGTAGTACGTTGGTGCATTGTACCTGTTTCCCTGTTTATACCAGTAGTAATAGTAGTAGCATTTGTCTTATGACTTTTGTTACTTATTGTTATTCACTGTGCTTCAGTTATCACATTGGTAGAATATGTTGAGAGCGCCTCTTTTGAATGCTATTATGTTTCCCTATTATTTTATTTCATCTTTACTTCTGTACTTTTTAGCTTCTCTGATGTTTGTCACTCGAGCCAGGGGGCTTTTGAAAATCTCTCTACTTTCTCGAGGTAGGGATAACGTCTGTGTACACTCTATCTTCGCCAGACCCTGTTTTTGACTAGTCTCCATCGTTAAGTTACTTTGACTATTTGATGAACAACGTTATTTTTATATTTGTGTTGGTGAGAGGCATCAAGTATCAAATCAAATAGTCGAGGTACCTCAAGGTTGGAAAAAACTTAGACTAACTAATAGACGAAAGTATAGGAGTTCTAATTTTTGAATCTTTTCTGAAAAAATAATTCAGTAGTAAAAATTCATTTGAATATATATATATATATTGTATCTCATGTGTATAAAATGTATCCCGTTCCTTAATTTATTGATCTAATGGTTTAAGTTTTTTTTAATCGATTAACTGATAATTCGATAATAAATTAGCTAAGTACTATATTTTTACCATTTGGTATATAAAGTCCTTAGAGACTTCGAGTTTAGCTTTATATTTGTTATTCCATAATGTGTCAGTATTTATGTTTGAGCAAGTCAACTCATTTGTATGATTCATTTTAGTTGTCTTTTAGGTGATTATCGAAAAAAATTTCTTACATCTAATATTAACGATTAATCAATAACTGATAAAATCAAATTGATACACAACCTAGTTAAAAGGGATGAACATTTATCGTACATTTTCCACCGAAGAGGATTCAGATAATTTTTTTTTTTACTTTAGCTGTTGAAAAAAAAATGATTAAATAAAGCAAAATTGATTAATAAATTAAAAAATTTGGGTCACAATTGGTTAACTAAAACCAACAAAATAACACAAATTCTCTCTCTAAAAACCCATCACTACTGCTCGTTGCCATGGCGTTCTGTAACAGAGTGGTGTTAATTCTCCTAGTTATTTTCACAGTGTTTCGACTGAAAATCGATGCTCAAAAATTACAAATCGATGGAAAACGAAGATTGATGAAGTGCAAATTTGATAAAATTTATCAATTGGGTGATTCAGTTTCCGATACCGGAAACTGTATCAGAGAAAGTTATTGTGGATCTCATTCTTCCTGTGCAAAATCACCTTATGGAATCAACTTTTTTCATAAACCAACTGGGCGTTGTTCTAATGGCTTGCTCATAATTGATTTCTTAGGTATGCTAAACTCAATCCCCAATTACTTCATTGCTAAATTTGCTCGTAGCTAATAATAATCTATTATAAATTGCTCGTAGCTTATAATATTTTTAAAAATTGCTCGTAGTTAATACTATATATATATACTTTAAGTTATATGATAAATGAGCGAGTTGAGATTAATTTGAATGGTTAAAACTGACCGAGCTAATAAGATAATTAAATTTCAAGGGCAAATTATAATAAGCGCATATTTCTTAAGAAAAAATTATAATTTATTTCTCGAAAGTGTATGAATATAGAATTTTTTAAAAATTTAAAAAAACATATATAATGATTAAAAGCATAATTAATGTAGTGCAGATATATAATATATAGTTTAAATATATTAAATATTGACTTAAATACATTAATATATAACTCGTAAATATATTAATATACGGCTCAAATAATTTAAGAAATTAAGAGATTTATGATAAAATTAATATTAATAATGATAAATTTTGTAATTTTACTTAGAATATCAATTGTTTTATCTATTCTTTTGCAGTTTTTTTTTGAAGCATCCTATAATTTTATTAAAATAAAATAAAGATATATTTTTACTTTAAAAGGGATGTGCAACTTTGGAGATAAGAAAGAGAAAAAGGGGCATCTAACAAAATACTAGATAAACATGAACCGACCAGCTACTATATATAATATTGATAAAAAGTGAATTCGAATTTATTTCTATCATGGGCTGCTAATTAGATAAATCATTTTAAAATCAAATGTCTTTATTTTTATTTCATAATCAGTGTCTAAGCCAGTTTATGTACATTTTTTTATGAGATATTATTTTTCATTAGCAATAGATATAGTAACTTTATCTATTAAGATTAGAATAACTGAAAAGAATCACCTAATACTTTTTATCTTATAAATATTTTGATAAGATAAGATCTATCCGGGATCAAACTTTGATTGCCTGATGTCGCATCAGTATCAGATCCTTTAAAAACGACATTTTGAAAGAGTTCGAAAAACATTGACCTGAGATACTAAATGAGTGATTCAATTATCAATCCATACTTAAGGCAGGTTGGGCGAGTTATGATTTCACGAACAAATTTTATCCTCTCTAATCAAATATTTGGCCATAAAATTTTTCAAATAATATTTGGAAAAAAATTGGCAAATAATGTTTGTCCATACAATTTGTCATTATTTGGCAAATATTTTTGGCTAAAATCCCAAATTCCCAAATACAATTTTTTTCTAATATTTGGGTCAAACCTCATTATTTGGGATCTTTTGAAAATTAAATTTTTACCCCAATTTTATAAGACACCCTCTATAGTAGTTGTTTTCGTTGTATTACATATTTTTTTACGTGAAACACCAAAATAGTGATGAAATATTTACTGAATATTAAATAATGATTTGATTGTTGATGAAAATGATGAAAAATT